CCCAGAATTCCCCAGCCAATTCTGGGAATTGAAGTCCACACATCTTAAAGTTGCCAAGTTTGAAAAACACTGGGTTAAACCAAGGACTAGCTGAAGCAGACCATGTGGGACAGCTAGCATTCAAACCAAAGCACAGCATATGCTTTTAGTGATCTGACTGAACTAAGGCAAAATCTACAATCTCTAAGCTCGTTTTACATGGTTGCTTCTTGGCAAAGCACGCATTGGTCCTAGTAGACCGCAGGAAAAACTTCCATTTATGGTGGTGTCCACAGGATCTTGCTGCTTTTGTCAGATGAATGCAGCATCATGGCACAAACTCTGCCTCTTTTGGGCATGCTTGGCACCTCGCAATGCATGTAGAAAAGGGTGGAGCCTACATGCTGTAACACTGCCTTCATCAATCTGACTCCCCCTGCCCCCAACCACATTGGCCACTGTTGAGGGCTGCAAGCTTTTTAATTCCACTCTCAGTACACACACACACACACACACACACACACACACACACACAGTCACACTCCTTGGAAATTCAATTTCTCAAATATATTGGCAGGATCAAAGACTGAATTTTCTTTGTAACCATGTGGAATAATAAACAAACTTAGGATACCATCGTCCTCAAATCATAACCACGAATCAACATTCTCCCTGTTTGATTCTTTTCAAATATATTCAGATGACAAAAAAGGACAACAGGAGTATTTGCAAAACAAAAACAAAAACCCGATCCCTCACCATGTCTGTATTTACATCACATATAACAAATTCCACTGAATTGAAAACACAGCATAAATTAAATGATTTTTATGGTGTCTACAGCTCAACAATGTAAGAGTAACAATTAAAATAAATCAAGGTAGAAGGAAATAAATATAACAAGTGTACCAGTATTCTCCTCACTACTACCAAAAAGAGGAAAAGGAAGAAAGACACATACAGTAGTATCCCATAGTTAATACTGATGGGCAAAACCTATTTTGGGGACCAATGTTGTAATATACAAATAACTGCTGCACAAGTCGTCTTTTCCTTTTGATGTTGGTTTGTACCACACCTCTGCCCAGAAAGGTTCAGTGGACTATGCTTAAGGCTTCTTTTGCAACATCCCACCAGCAGCTTTCCCCCACCTGGACATCCTCCAGATGGATCAGCTCAAAGAATGACCAGGCCACTGTGGAACCTGCTGCTTATGTGGAGAGTTGAAGTCTATACAACATGCAGAAGTTGCTTGATTCTATGCTGCAAATAGAACATCAGAAATGTGAAGGCACGTAATGCTATTCCCTCCTGGAACCCAACCCAACTCTGATACAGACTAGATACAGGGCTTTTCATAGAAACTTTCAGTAGGACAGCAAAAAGCTTGTGCTGCAGTAATTCCCATGCTTAAAAGGATGCTCTGACTGGGAACTGACTGCCTGTGTTCTTAATTCTGTCCCAAATTGAGAAGGATGCCTATAAGCTTCCAAAAGACTGCACCAACAAAAAGCAAGAGATGCTTTTAAAAACTATAATTAAATACAGTCCTGGTCTTTTTTTTTTTTTTAAATTATCATTTCATTAAGCAAAATTACTTAAAAACAGAGAGAAGGAAAAAAGAGACAAGACTCATTGAAGGATCAGGCAAAAATAGATCAACCATCTTCCAAATGTATTCATCTTCAAAAATAGGCTATAAAAGTGCAAAACTAGGAAAACAAATCTAGATTTTATGTACATATGGCTCAGCTTATGAACAGGAAAAGGGTAAATTTTGTACAATTTCCTGATACACAGCACTTCATTACATTGCCAGTTTTACAGAGATACATTTTTTTCACACACAGGAAGTCAGAAAATTAAAATGCTTCCAAAGTTGCTTGCTGGGTGTGAAGAAAACTTCCAAGAATGTCTACCTAGCTTCTGCAAATTTACATCTGATAGGAAACACATTCAACAGTGCAAAAGGTATTTTTGAAACCGTTTTTGTTCTGGAAACACGGGTATGTCAAACTGAAAATAACATTAAGGTGTTGTTAAAGGCTTTACAAAATGCTTTGAACATCCAGCTTCAACACGCACAATTCATTTTTCAGTCAGCAGACAATTCTCCTATTCAATTTTCAGTCCTGTGCAATGGGGAAAAAAACCTCTTGGATCTAAATACAAAACAAAACCAGCAAATCACGATTCCTTGTTAAACTTGTCACTCAATTTTGGGCTGAACTACTCATGAAGTGTATACGCACAAAAATTACAAGACCACTATACACACAATCTTGGTTTGGGCAAATGATGTTGGGCATAGGTCCTGACTTTTCAGATGGGAACCCAAGTAGTATTATGTGGCTACGTGGAGAACTGTGGCCTTCTATGAGAAGGGACCACAAGCCACCAATTCAAGGCAATTGCTGTGTGCATCACAGTGTGTCTAAAAATTTTATCTTGACCCAAAGCAAACAGCCTTTGTGATAGGGACAAGCAGAACAGGAATGCATGAGCAACCTGGGGGAATCTTCTATGAAGCCATGTGAGGGAGGCAGATTGAACCTTCAGTTTGTCAAGTAAATATGCAAGAGTTGTTATATTCACATATATGAGTTGGTATGGTGATTGGCCTTTCCTCTCAGGCATATGTACAAAATCTATTTACATCTATACATTTTTGCAATATGATGCACATGTAGAGGTGAAAACAGCATTAAGAAAAAGGGATGAACCGAAATACCCAGAAGGGATTCAGCTAGAAACATTCTACGTCCAACTGTACTAGAGGAATCATGTCTTTATATCAAGGGTTTGAGTAGTTTTACTTCCTACACTAATAGAGAGTGCAACCAATTCCATTCCCTTGTGGAAGCGATGCTGGGAAAAAAACAAAAACAAGATTCAATTTGAGAAAGTATATGATTTCTCCAAAGAAGATATGGTCTTGTTTGGTGCTAAATGTTCCTGATGTAATCTGAGAGGTAATTAATTGTGCTTAAGATGAACATAAGTAGTACATGGTTCTTTGAAAACTGGTTTTTACAGAAGAAAACAAAACCTGACAATATTCAGACAAAAATCCTCTTTGTATTTCAGTGAGAGAAACAGAACGCACAGCTTTACCTGAGATGCAAGGAACTGCACACAGCATCAGCAGCACTCACATATGCAAAAATATATTTAAGTTGAATATTTGGTCTACAGTAATTCTAAGAAAAAAATATTACTCAAGGTTGGGAACTGATACACACACATGGACAACACTGCCTTGGACAACAATGTTTACATTGCTTCATCCAAACAGGATCAGATCTTCCGTTACACAACTGTAGTGTTTTTCTCTATGCACAGTAAAATCACAGCTTAGTTTGGTAGCTTTTGCCATTCTATCATTCTCAAGAGATGAACTGTAAGGGAATTCAAAGTCTGCATCTTCATACCTGGAATACACAAACAAAAAAGTTCTTTTCAAATGACTCACAACAGATGGAAAAACAATATTGATAGCATTATTGTTTCAAGGGCTTGTAAATGGATTGATCTTCTTAAAGTTTTACTGCAAAATGCAGGAAATACGGTGTTGAGGTTTAGATAAAAACTCGATTTGGGGGGGGTCAGATTTCATTTTACATAATATATGGTTGCAATTGAAACTGGCATATGGAAACTATGATGTGTTTGCTGTAAAGTAACAGAATACTTACCAGCAATACCTGCTAGGGACAAGGTTTTACACTGAAACTAAGTCTAAATTCTAGTAAGCAGCCTTAACCTCAGAGCCATCCATATACTTAGGAAGAATTGTCGATACTTTATGGTGAAACAAAACACACATACTCTGGAAACTAAACACAGAACATTCCCGGGGAGCAAAAAAAATAACCCAGTGTTTATATTACCATCATCGTCATTGCTCTTTCTCTTACTATACAATATTTATTTATTTGTTAGAGTTATATCCTGCCTTTAGAACATTAACGCTTTAGAACTCAAAAACTATTTGAGACATTAAATCAATCTTTGCCAGGATTTAACAGAGTGCTATACTGTAGTTTGGAAAAAGCGAACAACTGGAGGCAGGGCCAAATGACAGGTCTGATCACTGGAAGATCTAAGCCAGTAGCCTGAAACTAGTCTGTCTCAAAGAGTCTAGCAACAGCTCGCTATAATTCAGAGCAATATTTGTACGCCAAACTGTGTCTTCTTTCATTCGAACCTGTTTTTCTTAAAGATAGCAACCACATAGGCCCAGAATTACACTTTGATTTCTTGAGCATCTCTATGTCTTTCTGGCAGCAGGACAACCACCATGGGAGAAAAGATTTTAGCTAAATGCTGTTACGGCTGTCATTTCAGTGAAGCAAAATAGATCTGAGCAGAAGCCTAATTTAGACTCTGCCTTTCTCTCCCAGTAAGATATATTGGTGAACAACCCTTCCAGTAGCTATAGCAAGCATTAGACAGTGATGGATACTGGGATCTGTAGTTCAGCAATATTTAGAGGGTTATAGATTTCCCAGTCCTGCATTAAAATTCTTACATTAATAGAAAGTAAAATGCACAATTTTCTGGACAGGTTCTCTTTATTTACATGTAATGCTATTTTAATAGTCTGACCACTGCTTAACATATATTCCAGTTCTTCCTCTAACATTTTCCAAATTGGAGATGTCCAAATTGTGTCTCCCAACCCAATCTTGAAAATGGCTATTTGAGATATTTCAAAAGTTACTGCCAAACTCTAATTTTTAATATGCCAGAATGGGAAATGTGTTAAACATATGGGGAATAATCTTGTTTATTGTATTTAATTAATGCATATTTAATTAACTTTAAGTAAAATCATATTTCATTTTTGTCTTGGCTCACCCATACTTTGGAATACAAGTCCCAGAACACCACTCAGAAGCCAAGGGTAACCCATGGTCTCCCCAAAGTTGCACACGCTTTGAACTAGACCATTTACCCAAACTTTTAATTTTCCAGATGTTTAGGGTCACGACAGATGGGAGATTTTGGACCTGTAGTCCTGACAATCCACAAAGCGCTGAATTGGAGAAAATTGCTTTACATTAGAGGGGGAGCCTGATGCCCTCCAAGTGTTACAGAACCATAACTCCCAGAAACCCCAGTCAGCATGGATAAAATGGTAAACGATGGAGGGCGCTGCAATTCAGCAAGATGTGGAGGCCCATAGGCCTTCCCGATAGCACTGGAACTGTAAAATGTGTGTATGTTTCTGTATAAAATGTGCCTTACCATCTGTTGCAGCCAAATCATGTTTTCTTATCATTCAGGCGGTTATGGGCATTGCCAATAAAGCTCTCATAATTTCGCTTTTGTAGCAAGGTACTAGACAGGTGTTGATACGAGACTGGTCTTTTTCCTAAAAACAAACAATCGTTACAACATATTAACAAAGGAATACAAATAAGACAGGACTGTTAAGTGCACGATATCTATAAACGCATCTGATGTATTTCTCTCAGCCACTAAAACGTGTTACTGCCTGCTCATAGAATACAGAACTCTGAAATATTCAGATGAACCCCCCGCCCCATTTTCAAGTATATGATAATGAAACCTAGACATCTTTGCATTACAGCTGATTAAGCATTATTATTTAACTAAAATCTCAGGAAGATCCTCCAGTAGCTGTTGTTTCCATTATCTTTCATAATCTTAATGCCTTTGGACTCCATCCCAGTGCAATATTCCTCTATGATGCTACACTGAGGCTCAGAGGCATTCTGGGAGAATTAGCATAGTAGCCGCTGTAAATATTTAGGCTGTCTAAACGTTAGACTAAGGGAGCCCCACTACTGCCCTGCCCAGACTGCTGGAGCTTGCTGTAATCATTGGTTAATGACTCTTCCAAACCGAAACTAGAAGGCTAACGTTGGGTGCATCTTCCTAGGATCTTCTCAGGCACTGATATGCTCATCACCAAAAACCAAACAACAAGAAAGGCAAGAATTTATGCTGTAAATCAGATCCTATCAGATTTTTTTTTTTAAAAAAAGAGCTCTTAAAAAAACAGATGCACACACACTCATTATCCAGGAACGAGGATATACATGTGGATGGCTGGTCTGAATTTTCTAATCAAAAATCTTCACCCAAGTTATTCCTTGGCATTACAGAGTCTGTCAATGAGCATGGGTACCCTCAAATCTCCTTGCTGCACAAATCTTTTGCACATCTAGAATCATTAAGTTTGAAGTCCAATCAGCCATCAGTTACAACCTCCCCAGCACCTGGTTATTCAGGGTTGGCTTGTTAACATTAACTTACATGGAAACACATTGCACTTTTATATGTAAATATTTTAAAACTGCATTTTGTGCAAGCAGACCCAACTGAAGAGTCATAATTATTTCAAACTGTTATCATGTTGTACCTTTGTGGGTGGTGTTTCTGGAAAGGATAAAGAGTACCTGCTATCCACCTACAAAACACAGTAAGTAAGATAGTATGGTTTTCTACCATCTCATCGCACCTCAGCTTGAAGGACAGACAAGATCTATCAAAACTCAGCAGTTCAGGGTAATTCTACTTTTCTTTCTCTACACCTGATACTTGGTATTGCACCTCTTTGGGCTTAATACCGAAGCTGCTGGTCTCACTAGTATTTAGATGAGAGATCACCGGGAATTCCAGTGTAAAATAGACTGGGAAGTTGAAAAAAAACTTCTCAAAGAAAATGGCAAACAGCTTCCTTATTACATAGATGTGCCCACGTGGCCACCCGAAGTTGAGCTTAACTCAAAGGAGACTTTGCTTTTTAAAACTAAACAGACTTGGACCTGCCCAACTGCTGGAATAGTGGTGACACAGATAATACTTCATGGCTTAATAACTTCTAGGTTGCTTGGGTGGGAAGCCAAGGAGAACTTATTTTAAGCCATTTTGGGCTTTCTAAAAGGTGAAGTGGGCTAAACGTTTTATGCAAAGTTGTTCTAGTTGGCATAGAACACCCTGAAAGATTCTAGGAGACAATGTCAATACTTTTCAGAAAGAAATATTAAAGGCACACAGAACCTGCAATACTGCATTGCAGTATTTTAATTTTGAAAGCTCTGGTTGAGGATTTCAACTAGTAATGCCGTCCTTCCAGATAATATGTTAGCTTGAATGCAGGTTAATATACTCTTCTACCCAGTTTTCCATTTGTACTTTTTTTAACATTCAAAATATTTGGGGGGGGGGATTCCAGAGGGTAGGCAAGATTTCTTATTCTCCCTGGGCTTTTTTGGCGGCCCCCCCCCCCCAAACCCCTGTTTTGTACTCCTGCATATCTCAGAATACATTAAATGCCTTTTGGCTCCAATCTTATCCACAACCCAAATGATTAAAAACAACCATTCCGCTGGGAGAAACTGAAAAAACACCAACCACCCAAGCATTTAGGAGTTAAATTTGTCTTGATAATTGATCATCTAGAGTTTGCATATTCTAATGATATTTTAAAATCACAAGGGACAAATTAGAATGGAGAAACTGTCAATTGATTGGTTTTTAACATGTCTTTACACGCAACTGACAAATATTTGCCCAACGCAGGCTTTCCCAACTTGGTGTTATCCAGATGTATTGGATATCAAGCCTCATAATCCCCTGTGACAGGGTGTACATGCTGAGGCACCCTAGGGCCTCATGTATTTCACAGGCCCCTTGCATTCAGGCCCCTGAACCCCACCAAAATTGGCCACCAAACTGTAAGGGACAGAAGCAGCTGATTATGAAGTAAACAAGGAACAATCGTGTTAAATATATTTAATAAATTTACCTTGAATTACACCTGAATAAAAAAGAAATCTAAAGTAGTTCAGCCTACACTCAAAATCTGAGGGCAGCCCTCAACCCAAAAACGTTGAGCACTCCTATTCCTGGGATTACTGTAATTGAAGGTAACAGGTTGAAGGAAGGCTCATGCTTCCAGAAACATGCCCACAGTGGGAAAAGATAAAGGAAAGGGCTGCACCTGAGGGATCCTGCACGTGCTTTATAAGCACTAGATGGGAAGTTTAATCCCTAGATTTTTCAAAATTCCTGCCTGAACCCCCGGACAGACACCTACAAGCCAATGTGGCTGAAATTAAACATCTCAGTGGTCTAACTTAGTATCAGGCAGCTATCTAAATACAAAAAGCAAGTGTAAAGCAAATGCTAGTTTGGAGGACATCTTACAAATGCATCAAGAGTCAGATGAAATTCTGGCTTGTTCTCCTGTGGCCAGTGCAATGGCTGTAAAAGATTATAATTTCATTCAGCAAGTATTCTTTGTTTTAAAGAACAGTTTGTTTTGCCATCATTCATTGCAAGGAGCTAAGAAAGTATATACCTTCTTTTGAAGAGCTGGGGACATGGCTGCTACTTGATCCACAGGAACTGGAAAATGGCCCAGGGCCGTACGTTTCATATGGCTTTAGAACAGTCATGGGATTTATAGCATCTCCTTCAGAGCTCATGAGCCCTTGCTTGATAGGCAGGAGAGAGGAGGCAAGCTTGGTGTGTGAACATTCCTGAGGGAGCAGACCTGAATATTTGCCTGAAAGAGGTAACCTGGCAGCATCGTTTTCTGTCCGGTGTCGGGCAGAATCAATCTGTTCCAGAGCAAAGAGACTAGGCCTAACTCTTTTAAAAGCCAGTCCATCAAATCCCACGTATCTGTTCCCAGCAGATCTGTTACTGAGAAACTCTATTCCTCGACTACTTGACCCAGAAGCTTTGTTCAAAGGGTTCTCCAAAGAGCTGCTGAGGCTGCTGCTCCCTATTCCTAACTGAGAAGCCAAAAGTCTTGCTTTGCCTTTATCTTGTACTGAAATGCTACTAGGGCTGTGGTGCATTTCCTGCTGTGGTCTACAGTTATTCATCTGAGGGCCCATCATTTGGGGTTTGCACGATTTCAAGTTGCTTGGTGCCAGGCTGCTGGAGTTTTGCCCTGGAAGAATGGGTCCTTTGCTTTGTGGGGTGGGACACTGCCTCGCCTTCTCCACATGCAGAGATTTTGACTGGGTGAGCAAGGGAGATTTGATTTTCCCAGAATTAAGAGGGAGTGGTGGCACGTCCTTGCCCAAAAGATAGGGTGGGCATCCTGTACGTCTGGCTTTATGAGCTGCCTTATTTCTAATACTACTTTTAGTAACAGCATTGAGATTATTAGCAGACTTATGCACCAACCGTTGATGCATTATTAGAACTTCTGGATATAACGTCCGGAAAGTACAAAAGGGACAGGTGCTGGTTGCTAAGGAACACCGAGAATGAGGAATTACTGGCGCATCCTGAGAAGAGGCGGTAGATAAATTTAAGGGCTTTTCTTGAACTGTTAATCTGCATTTTGAGTTTTCAGTAACGTCGCTTAAAAGATCCGCATTTGTTCGGCCAGCATAAAACACATTTTCTGCTAGTTCGGAATTATTTTTTTCAGTTCTATTAACAAGACTGTTTGCCTGAAGTTCTGCTGTGTTTTTTTCAAATGTTAAAACTGAAACAGATGCACCCTTTTTCAAGCCATCACAGTCTAAGCCTTTGCTCGTGTCCTGAGTTATAGTTTTTGGTGCACTCTGAAAAGGGTAAAGCTCTTCTTTCTGCTGTTTTAGAGGTGGGACTACTCCTTTGGCATCTTTGGCATCTTCAAGGAGCCTTTTCAGATTTTTGGTTTCTGGAGCATGACCGCTTACTGACAAGAAGCCCGTCTCCTGAGAAGGCAATAACCCTTTACTGTCATTTTTCAGATCTGCTGCAGCTTCTGTATGTTTGTCCTTGTGATGTCTCTCCAAGTGATAGCGCAAAGATGTTTTCTGCGCAGCTGCATACTCACAAAATTCACATTTGTATGGTTTTTCGCCTGCAAAAGTAATGAGCCAAAAGTCAGAAAATCCTCATTTCCTTCTTTTAATTCATCGGAAAACAGAAATGAATTCTGGGTGTTTTCTCTCTCCTGCTACTAAACATCTTAGAACAACAAATACTTTGCCAAAATAATGGTTTCATTAATTGCACTTAGCTATTTGACTTTGATTTCATTTTTAGAAATTAAAAATGATGGTTTGCTTAGCAGAGAGAGAGAAAAGTAAGGACAAGCAATATCACATGTGGTGCCTAAAGCCTTTAATTCTCCTTCTGTCTTCATACACATGTAGGACTCATTTGTTAGCCTGCCTGACGCTTTTTCCAACATTGTACTGCAAATCCTTAATATTTACCTTGCTCAGTCTCCTGGAAACACAAGGCGTGTTTGAAGACCTTCACGCCTCCCAACTGCTAATCACAGCAATTCGCAGAGTAACTCATTTATTTGTTGAATTCATAACCTTATTTTCCTCCAGAAGCTCAAGATGGCATGAACAGTATTCACTCCTTCCTCCATTTCCCCCGACATCATCCAACCAGTAAGACAGGTTTGGTTGAGACAAACTTAGAGATATTTGCTAGAAATGGGGGGGGGGGTGTTGAGAAATATGCCAACATTCTTGGCACCAGAGCTAGTGGAAGTCTTTCCTCCCAACACTGATAAAAAAATCCTAACAACTGTAGATCAACTGTAGGCAATAAAGTGAGATTAGAACAATTCAAAAGAGCAAGTAGCAGTGCCCTTAATATTGCTGTTTTTAACTCAGAAGTTAAAAAACTCTTTTATTCAAAAATCCCTCAATAACCAAGAGCCTTTCCAAATTTTTAAAGAGTTGACTCACAGTTTTGGGGTTTATAACAGCATAGGAAGGAGAGAACAACCATTTTTATACCATTATCCAGAACTCTACACGGACAGCAATTTGATCATCTCAATAACTCTAGGAAAGTTTTATTTAGCTCTTTTACTACTCCACTGGTTCGGTGGTCTCAACCCTCAAGGGGAACTTCTCCTATTTTCTCAGCATGCAACAAACTATTTCTCCAACGAGTGTCAATACTGAAACTTATTTGTCTTTTACTTTTTTAGATTTTTTTTAACCCACCTTTATTGTTTTTTTATAAATAACTCAAGGCAGCAAATACACCTCCTCCTATTTTCCCCACAACAACCCTGTGAGGTGAGTTGGGCTGAGAGAGCGCGACTGACCCAAAGTCACCCAGGCAGCTTTCATGCCTAAGGCGGGTCTAGAACTCACCGTCTCCTGCTCTCTAGCCTGGTACCTTAACCACTAGACCAAACTGGCTTGAAAATATTGAAAATCTTCCCCTTTTGACTCTTCATCAAAAGCACAGTCCAGTTTTCTTTACCTGTATGAGTTCTGAGATGAATATTGAGGTAATAGTTTGAACGAAAAAACTTTCCACAGTAACTGCATTCTCTGGAGGCTCCAAGGTTTTTTACTTTTGTTCTTTCCAAGACATCTTCATTTTTATCTTTAGATTGGGAATGGGGAATGGATAAAAATAAAGAAAACTAAGAAACACAATTCTGGACATTGTTTTTTAAAAAAAGACACACTGAGTAGTAATTGCACAACCTCTATAATTATCTGTTCATTCATAGACAATATCTTTTTTGAGCGTGCACTTTTGTTTTAAATAAAAGGATTCTAGTAAGACAAAAATAATAATAAAACAAGCACAGAGTACCATTGATGTACTTCTTAAGAGGGAAATGAATAGGTATCTCTATTTATATTTGTGTATCTGTATATGCTGTATTATTGTTAAATAATTTTTTTAATGAAAAAAAAAAAGGTAAGACATGATAACAGGATTCAGCTTGTTTTGCAAAGATATCCACCAAGAATAGAGTGCCGTGACCCCCCTAAAGTTGAAGATTTTAATTCTCATCTTTTTGGGGGATGGAGGGAAGAAGGGACATTCTCTCTCTCTCTCCACAGATAGATAGATAGACAGAAAGACAGATATAAACACACATACTTTTATCTATATCTTATTCACGTGTTTGCTCACACTTGTTTGGTGTATCTTATATATCTAATCTACTGTCTTCCTGTAACCCTTCAGAACTACTCAATTCAATGCTATCACACAAAAATATTCTACCATGCAGCATAACTATGAGTGAGATGCAGTTGTATGCAAAAGTTAAGTCGCCCATGGTCAAACGGTTTCAATTAATTCCAAAAAACCCCCCAAAAACATAAGCTGGCACAACCTTTACAAGGCACAATGATAAACACAACAACTTTCTTGAAACATGAATGCATTCTTACCAATTATATGCAGTTGTTTATAGATAAAAAATTATGAATATGCCAAGTGCAGAAATTTGGAGACTCTCTTGGTCAGCACTTTGTAACTCCTCCTCTGCTAGAAATAACAGCTTTCAAATCTTTCCTATCTTTCTATTCCTCTTTTTGGATTTTTTCCCCACTCTGCCTTGCAAAATTCTTTTAGCTCAAAAATATTCTTAGGTCTCTTTGCATACACTGCATGTTTGAGATCTCCCTACAGATCTCCAGTAAAATCAAAGTCTGGGTCTTGTGAAGTACTTTTGCGTTTACAGACTACAACAACATGCAGAAAGACTTTTCCCATGACTTTCCTTCAATTAAGTCTTTTTCTTTGATATTTATTAAAATCTTAAGTATTTTTTCCCCAATACATCAATTGCTTTTCCTATGTTAAAACCGTACAGCTAACATTTCAAAGTAAATTTTAATTTTACCACGGAAAGTTCTTTGTTAAAATTTATTTTCCTCTGAAATATTTTTTAAAGACCTGGGTCTTTAGGTAGCCCAGTGACCATTTTAGCCCCCGGAATGCCCCCTTAGGCAGCAAGAAAGGCATTTGTGGGCTGAGATGTCCTCCCCACCCCCCAACCCCATATACAATACCATCGCATCTAAAACAGTTGGGGTATAAAAAATGACAACTGGGCACAAGGGACAGAAATATTTTTTTGCAAATTCCTTCTCTCACATGGACACACACGTACACAACTCCTTAGGAAGTTTGCAATGGCATTTGGCACACAGACTTTCACCGCAACTCTAAGTAGTGAATGCATGCATCACGTTAGATCAGTTTTTCAGGTCACATAGCAGCCCCTCCCAGGGAACACAATTTGAGTTTATACTGTGCTGTGCAGGATTTAATCTGGAAAGCAGATAACACAGGATAACAACAGATAACAGTTGTACTAGGAAGAATTTTAAGTGGGATGGGATAGATGGATAAAGTAGACTTGTGCAGTTTAGTTGTAATTACAACTGGCTAATTAAGCTTCCAAGAGCCACAAACCTACCAGAGTTCACTGATCAAGCTGAAAGAAGCACATTTAACCTGCTTTATGAGATACGCAATATTGAAGCGATCCTTAAAACCATTCTACAGGCACGTGTTTTTGTTCATTAGAAAATGTAACTTTAAAATATCTGTTTAACTTTTATAACAGACAAATGTGAGATAATCTCACATCTCATTGCCTTATGTAAATCCTGCATCATTTAAAAGAGAGTAATTCCTCTCTTTTTAATTTTAGGGAAAGGAAGTTCATCCTGTCAAATGTATGATTTCCAAAACTGAACACTGAGACGGGGGAACATTTATTTCTTCAATTACTCTTCACTCCCTTTCCTTTACTATATTTTCATTTAGCTTATTGTATTTGTATTTTGTTTTTTATACTGTGAGCCACCCGGAGACTGTCCGGAGTTGGGTGCTGCTGAGGTCAAACTTAATAAATAAATAAATAAATAAATAAATAAATAAATCTCAATGCAGAATTACCATTTATACAATTATAATATTTTATGAAAACGTACGAAAGGTGAAATATTTTCCCTACTCTAATTTGCATGCAGCTCCCAAGGTTTATCACTAGAGGGCAGCATATGCTGTATTATGCTCATTCAAGATAGTTTCTGGCTGTAACCAATTGCATCGAAGTTTGATTAACAGGAGTGGCTGCAGAGTAGTGGCAAGTTCAAACACGGGACAAGAAATATAACTGGCTGTTTTATACAAAGGAATCCCTGTGTGATTTCTCCAAATTTCTGCCAATCTCTCCAAAGCACCGGGGACAGTACTGCGTAACAAAAGGATCTACCAGTATTCTGAGTTGACTAAACAATCAGTTGCGGTGGAAAAATAACAACATAAAATAAAACAACTAAAATAAAATCATAAAATGTATAGCATTAAAGGAAATATCCACCTGCCTGATCCTCCATTACACCATCCTTATCTACAATTCTACACACTAATGTCATAATATGTACATGAAGTGCGCAATGCCCTGTGCTTGTACTAAGATTGTGCAAGCATCTTACCCTTCCGTGTAGATACAAATTATGCCATGACTTAAAAATAGCATAAGATCACACTGTGATAATATTCCCTGGAAAGAAGTGTGAAGATATCAGCAAAACGTCTCCCCCATGGTATCTTTAATAAGGACACACTCTTACGCCTAAAACAGTGTTGTCCAAACCTGGCCACTTTAAGATGAGTGGACTTCAACTCCCAGAATTC